GCCCAGTTCTTCACTGCTTATGCGGCAAGTCGACTTTTGCAGGGGACACGACTGTTTTCATAAAGTAGTGTTTTGGTAGTGTGAAGTGCTGTTTTGGTAACTTAGTGTTTACGACTTATTTTGATATTCAGTTAGAAATCAGCCGGGTAGAGGAGAATTGTGGCCGTAAGGTGCAGAAATTAGACAGCACGGCCAGACGTCTCGCTTGTTCTAACTCTAGAACAATACGAAAAACCTGTTATTCATCGATCAGTGACTTGCTACACATTTCTTGGCCAATTGCACTGAGGCTCTGTGTGATGAATTTCATGCTTAGTGGTGTTAGCAGCCAGGAACCTACACTGGGATTAGAACCATGATTTCTAAAGTATGGAACCAAGCTACTATCCACATTGCCTCTGTTCTCGTTATGACCAAGAATAACAAAAGATTGCCATTCTTTTGTCCTGATTCACATTATTTATTATATGGAACCTTTGGAAATATTCCATTGGACAAGTTGTACAGTCAGCCTGTATCGCGAGTTCCAAACTATTAAATTGAGAGGAACAGCGTACCGGTAAGTTCGTCCGCTGTACTCAGTTTTGCCATAAAATATTTGTTGGGTTACGAAGGCAGCAGCTTCAGGTTTTATAAGTGATTCCGGTCATCCGGAGGTCACGCAGAATTTGCAGGCTGAATTCCGTGCATCGAAAGTACTTGCTGTGTTTTCAGTAGATCGTCCAGTCATATGGCCCTCAATTTGTTCTTTGGGCTACTTCTATACTGTTTTAAATGAAAGTGAATTTTCTGGCGCTCGTATCTGCCAATTATCCATTTAAGGCGATAATTGGTACGGTGCAATGTTCTAAAATGACTCGAGAATTTTTTTAAACTAATTGGCTAAGTGAATCGTAGAAGCTGTAGAAGCTCTTATCATATAAAAAACATTCATTTTCATTTATCATCATTACGTTATCAACGAGGTAGTGTTGCACCAATCAGAAGAATGCTGTCAGCCATTGCGTCGACGAGCTGAGGTCTAAACTCTAATGCAGTATTTTGAGTTTGTATTTCTTTTGGTTGGTTGTTCTTTCATTCTCTGACTCCTTTGAGCAGTAGAAACGTAGAACGCGGTGGAGAAGCCGAGTTACTACAGTGGGTGCAAGCCATGCTTGTGAATCCGAGGCCGTCATTAGCTTCCACGGAGAAGAGCTGATTTGTTGAACAGATGAACAGTGGCTTCCAAACTACCGAGTGGTTATGACCATCAATCAAGATTTTATAATTATGTACCAGCGCCTGGTTGATCGACAGTTTCGGAATTCACTACGGGTCTTCACGACTACCGTAGCGGCTAAAGGGGATCAAGTCCAATCATACATTACCCTCCAAAGTTAATCTGTTATGTTATTCGTTGTTCGGTCCCTGCCACAAGGAGAAGATGTTTTTTTGGATACGCTTTTATTTGTACGTTTTTGTTTATATTGTTATTTGCTTATAATTCACCTGAGATTGCCATTTGTATTAGCTGGACATTTTCACACGGGCGATACGGTTTTGACAGAATTTTTTATATATGTGTGTCATTGACCTCAAGTGTTATTGGGGGTGGTGGTAAAAAATGAGACTTCTTTTAAAAGTTTTCGTATACGGTAAAAAACTGTGATTAGTTAGTCTTTAAGAGCCGTTTTTAGGTATAACTCACGCGTGGCAAAGACTTTAGGACCTCAGAAAGCATGCGCCTGTTGGCTGTTAAAATGCGCCGCAAGCTTCAGGTACTGTTTATTTAATGTACAAGGTGAAGAAGTTCAAGTTTACAGGTTGGTAGGAAGTACGGAGTTTATCTCGAAGAAATCACAGTACCGAATGATCAAGGATAAACAGTGGGAAATAGAGGCTATCGATGCTTCAGATTCCTGTGTTTCAACTCCTGGCTTTGATCATCTAGGTATAATTTATTTCACGTTTTTACTAAAATCACCCTAACGTTCTGAGGTTGTGCGGTAATTATCAGCAGCCTTTTTTTCCATCCACTGCTGGACGAAGGCCTCTCTTAGATTTTGCTATAAAATGGTTTCTTCCTCTATTGTTTTCCAAGTTGCTTCAACGAATTTCTCATGCTCGTTTTGCCGTCGACTCGGCAGTTTCCTGTCTCTTTACCAAGATCGTTGTATTTAGTATTTGATATTTATGTAACAGCCTGAGACTAAAATAATGCGCATTGGATATTTGTTTTGTCGATGTATAGCAAAGAAGAAAATATGAAGATAGTATGTTCAACACTCAGCGACATTTTTGTTAGTTATTTTCGTTAGCAAACACCACTCTTTAACTCATTAAGGCGTCATATCCGCCACCCATAAAAAATTGAATGGTACAGTGTCATTGACCACTACGGGTGTCACCTATCCTGGTCTTTTCAGCCCACCGACTGTTAAGAAACTAACAGTTTCCTTAATTTGCTTCTGAATAACAGCAAATATAAATAAATACTAAATTATGCATTGCATCAAATGATCCATTTTTTATTTCTTATCATTTTAGATGGTATCACCAGTCTAAAGGAACTGAAACTCAATTACTGTGCATATGTGAATGACGACTGCTTAGCCAAGGTAGTTCAGTTTTGTCAGAAGACTTTGGAACGACTTGAAATGGTGTGTTGCGGAACTGTATCTGGGGCTGGCCTGCTCTACCTACAGTACCTTGACAAGTTGAAGTATTTGAATCTCTTCAATCTACCGATGGTCCATCCGAATGAACGACTCGTCGTGCTTGACGTTTACCGTAAAGCGTTTGGTAGCCGGTGCAAAATCATTTTCCCGCCTACCCCAACAGTTGCCAGTTGACCTTAGCCTTCTCATTACATGTCTGAGTTGATTAGTGTATATTCTAAATCATTTTAAAGTGCTGTCATCTTTCAGGTAGGTCAGTTATTTGATAGTTTACGTTTGTAAAACAGGCACTTCCTTAGGCATAAGTTGAATTGCTGCATATTCAGTTTTTTTGCGTTCAGTTTTCTTCTGTTATCGACTATGGTGAAGTATATTATGTCATTTGGCCCTCTGATGGCTGGAAGATATGGTCTAAACTTGCCCCTATATTTCAGTTTTATGATGTTTGAATTTAGAAGCAAATTTTTTTTTGATATGGTTCCCACAGATCGTTCACGCTCTCTGCGTACACAAGATTTGGATGAGTAATTGCAGCTATAAATACTGTATGGTCGTATTAAACAGTTATTGTATGATGCAAGCAACCAAAGATTTCTGAAATCAACCCGTTAAAGAACAGAATGGAATAAATATCATTAGTATTTAGTTTCACAGTTCGGTTTTCGTATTCTCAGCACAGAAAGCAAGTGATCCGGAATCTTCACAGAGAAAGCGGAAAAATTTTTTTCTGTTTCCTGACTGATAGGCGTCAAGGAACGCCTCGTAGATCTCTCGTTCACCGAGCTCTTCGGAGTACTGCTTGCACATATTCTGCAACCTGAAATACAATTTTGTTATTCAAGGCATATGTGTGTTCATAACGTACCTAATTGACCATTTTCCATTGGAATGCATTACGCCCGGCAGATCCTCGTTGCCCAGACCAGGACCTTTCATGCGCTTTTTGCCGTCTATGACAGCGTATCCGTATCTGGAAAACTACCGTATGTTATCCAAGGCTGTCGACATAAGTGTCCATCGACCACTGCTACGGAGCAGCGTCAAATTTTCACATCGCTTTATGACACCCTGACGTTAATATTAAGAAAATGAACAGAAAGGGAAAATGAACTTCGGTCATTTCATTTGAATTTGGATTATTTTTTATTATTCATAGATTTGTTGCCTTTTTACGGAGTATGACTTGCGTGAACAAAGCCTTAAGCCTCGTGGCTAAATTGAGGATGGTTTCTGATATTTGAAAATACCTCTTAACATTTCAGATACTGCATAATTTTCATAACAGATCAGATGGTCCAGTGGCGCTGTCGAAAGCCGTTTGGCTTTGCATTCCATAGGTCAATAATGTTTTTTGTCACAAACTTTGATTCCCATTAAGCAGTTCGTTCCAGTGGCTTCACTGCGGCCTGTCGAGGAACGGGTCTGGGGTCTCATACTTTTTTGCAACGGCCATGTGAAAGCCGGTAAGAGTTTTAACCATCTGTTGTTTGACAAAAATTTGTTGACTGCCACCCAATCATACTGATAATTTGATCAGCGCAAAGCGCAACCCATAAATAAAAAAACTGCATTGTAGTGTGAAGTTTCACACAAGACTATAAATCAGCAAATTTTTAAGCCGTAAATTTTTAAGTCTTTACTTACTCGATGAACTGTGAGTTACACAGACTTTCGAACAGTTCGATTAATGCAATTTCGAGCAGTTGTGGCTTTTCATATAAAGACTTGTTAACCAGTTTTTCGAGCGCGTCATAGAACTAAAAACAAAGCTGTTCGCATATATAACGTAATAACATGGCAATCGGTTATAAATAATCATATAATTATACAAACAAAATTTTGTAGGCTTAGATTGTTCGTGTTATACTTTCTCCCTTCACTGGAGGTTATTTTTGTAAAAGTTGGGGCTGATGTACGATAAGTATCCACTTGTTAATAAACATTATTGAAAGTGTCTGTCTCTTATGCTGTTATTCGATATTACTGTAGCACCCCGCCTTTGCAGTTCGATATTGTTATCGATTGTCTCTTCAAATTTGAACAAAAGTCAAGCTTCTATTTTAGAACGGAGAAATTAACGTATGCTGCTAGCTATCTTACTTACTCAGATTATTCCGGTGTCGTTTAATAGCATACACGGAATCCTGTTTGACCGTATGATTAGATTCTCTATGCAATACCAATGGAAGTAAGTCACTTTTTTCTAACCCCTTTATATCAAAAGTTAAACCTATTAAAACAGCTTGATACTATTGTTGATCTTCCTTTGGACTTTTTGCTGCTTGGCTATCGGCTGTAGTTCTATTCGTAGAACATACTACGTTCCACTAAATGCTCATGATCGATATGAAGGTTGTGAATAATGTGAGCACTGAATAAATTAATTATTTTTGTTTTTTCATCAGCAATTGTCGAAGGAAGACGTCAGAGCGTTATTTGTAAAGAAAACTATTGCAGACAACCGAAGCATGGAGAAACTGCATAGACGTTTAATGGGGGGGTAGGCAAAAATTCTTTTAGCTCTCAAAGCAGAAGACGGAACTTTCATCAAAACAGGCAAGAGATTCTCAAAAGAATGGAAGATTTCTATAGAAGACTGTAAATGATGAAGAAGATAAGGCGCAACACCGTTTTTATGAGAAAGAGCCAAAGTTAACGAAACTCCTGATATCTTGCCAGAAGTGCTACATGCACTCCAGTTTAAAGGAGGAAGGGTTACTGGCAGAGGCGACATTACAGTGGACTATTAGAATCAAGAGATGAAGTAATGATAGAGATATTGGCATGTTTGCTTTCACGCTGCCTGAAGAAACTGTAAATTCCAAGGGACTGCACCACTGCATCGGTGATTCCACTCCAGAAAATGTGAGATTTGAAGATTGATTCATTTGGCCACCAGTCATCTACAGGACCTTCACGAGGGTACTGAGGATCAGATTTCAAGAAAAACTGAACGCGGCACAGAGAATGTTGACATAAGTTTTCTCTCTGTCTGAGGTTCGTCGATTTCGAGAAGGCTTTCGACTCAGTCTACATCTGTTCTGTACTGGATTCCTTGCGGAAGCAAAGGTGCAATGAAAGATATAGAGACGTCATTGCATGATTTACAAGAATGCAACTGCTAGTGTAAAATTCACTAATGCATAAGCTAGTTTAAAATCGAACAGGGTGCCTAACAGGGATACGCAATATCACCGACATTATTCACAGCAGCCAAAGCATGTGTATTCAAGACAATTAGTAGCCATCTGCGGCTTATGAACGATGATCTTACTCTCTCAAGGTCGTCAGAAGAACCTCAGGGAAGGATCCAAGAGCTAGACGACGTAGGGCTGAAAATGATCCTAAGAACGCCAAGTCATGTTTAACAGCTGCGTAACTGAGCGACCTGTTGAATTAAATAGATTTAATCTTGAACAGGTGCCAACTACAACTGCTTAGGACGACTCGTCTCTGCAACTGAGAACCGATGATGGGAAGTTAGCAGAAGAAAGGAAGTGGTATGGGGCATTTTTGAAAGACTGAAAATGGTCTCATATGGGAAACTGCCGTTGTGCGCTTGAAACACAACATTGTCGATCAGCGTGTGCTCGCGGTACAAGCTATAGACGCAAAACGTCGAACTTAAGCTTGAACGCTATTCATAAGCTGCAGACTACGCCATGCAACATGGAAAGACGTGTTTGGTGTAACCAGAATGAACAAGGAGACGAATGAATAGGCAGGAGCACAAACAAGAGTCTTCGCTGTCATTGCCCAAGCGAAGAAGTTAAAGTGACATTGAGTAAAACGCGTTGTTTCAGGAAAAACCATCGTCGTTGAACCGGAGAGACGGCGGACTATTTCCAAGAGATAGCATGTAGGAAATCCTACTGAACGAGTTGAAGAAGTTCGTTGGATCAAGATGGATGAAAATCACAGGAAACATAATTCTCTCCAGCAAGAGATGGACAAAGGGTGCTTTTCTGTTGTTTTGTTTTCAAATTAGCCCGTGAACCTGTGTTGATATCAGTTAACAAAAGAACGGCATACAGTCGCCTGGCATGTGCTTACGATTTTATCCATGATACGGCAGCCGTCGCATCGAACTACATGCGGCATGTAGACGTTATCGTCGTCAAGATCGCGCAAGTATTCCAGGTTGACAGAGGGGTTTCCATTAGAAGTGTCGCCTTTCGCATTATTTTCATTACCTATTACAGCGAGAAGAAAGATGAAGACGTTCAACGGCACAAGCTGATACTCCATATTTGGTTACTGATAATGAAGTTCGTTAAGAGAAGGCTCAGGTTTTGTAGACAGCAAAGGCAAAGTCAACAGAAAACACTGGAAACAGGCGATGATAAACGGGATGACTGCCGAAGCACGAAATTAATACGTTGCTATGCTGTACATAGTACCGAACTTTTACAACGAAGATTATTTAACACGGTTCATTTCACGGCAGTAAACTTTCAAACTCTCCAGGTCTGTAACTGGATTCATTAGTCTGAGGCGAAAATTCTCTACATTGTCTTACATGTAATGCCTAGTTTGCTCTGTTCAAAATTTTTCTTCCTGCAAATATTAGTTATATCAAACCAATAACGGAAAAAATGACTAACAATAAAAAATGAAATAAAAATTTATGAAATGAAAATTGTGAAGCAAATTTTTTCTTCATTGAAAAGCATAATTTCAACACTTCATTTTGTGTGGAAAGCAACAACTGTTGTATGACGAGGTAGAGCAATAATAAGGAGATTGACCGTTATGAAGCGAGAGATTTAAATAGACAGACTTATCTTAAATGTGCGTTGGTATATGATCAAAAGGTAAATATTGGCATTGAAAATTAAAGAATTGATTTTGTTTTACAGTCGTTATAAGGCTATTACCAGTATTGTCTTACCTTTGGCGAAAACAGGCAGGGCAAATGATACACTGCCTAGGTTTTGTCATGAAGCGTCAAATATTTTATGAAATAAAAAACTACCGATCTGCAGTGTCAGTTGTACATATTTGCACGATTCCGTCATTCCCTTTCACACTTCCTTGTGAATCATTGTCTAGATCAGTATAACGGTTATTTTCCTGCAGCGCCTCAACCTTTTAGGCTGCTGTTCTTCTGATGTATTAGTGGATGTTATGCAGCTTGTGGAATTTGAAACCTGAAACCGCCTGAGTGGTAACAAAATGTTATCACTCATTTTTTGACTATCATAGGCTGCGGTCCGTTTGGTTTTGACTGGCGAAAAATATTCTGTAGTATTAATTTTCAGAATACTGCATTCTCGTTGCTTTGAGAAGACAGAAGCCTCAGAAGAATTTTTTAATCACACCTGTTCTTCACCGGTTTAGCAAGCTTTGTAGGCTGGAATCCAAACGGTTACAATATCAGGAGCAGAGCATATTGAAGCTATCTGATAATGTATCGCTTTTCATGGGTCTTTGCGAATATTGTTGATTTTACAAGTTTCTTACCCGGTATGATTACACCATGTCCAAACAGCCGCGCACACGATAACGTGATATGGACAACTAGGGATTCAGAAACGAGTTTTTTTGGATTGTCGCTTAACAGACTTTTATATCTTAGTGACGTCAGCAATTCTTTAAAAGAACCCTTTTTTCTGCAGGTTGCATCTGTCATAATACTTGTTTTTTTACTATCATTCATATTGCGTCAAAAGAAGCAATTTCAAATGTTCACTGGCATTCCCATTCAGCTTTACGCTAAATGATATACTTAAAGAGCAACATGTAATCGGTCCGCAGAACATCTTTTCAGTGTAGTAACCCATGACTATAGAAATACCAGTCAGGCCAATGCAGTGAGAATGTTTCTAAAGTCTCCATTGAAATAGTTTGGAATTGCGTATTGCCGGATTAGCTGTGGTTTAAGGCATTTGAATATGAGACAACGTGATTAGCAACGGCTTGCTCGATGATTTTGTCCGGTGCCTGTAACGCAGTACATTGACCAGATCCCGTCGTGTCAATGTGTATGCAATGACCGAACTCTGCAGAAAATGTATTATCTGAACCTCAGCGTGGATTCGTCGTGATTGCAACTGAAGTAACACTACTTTGATCAATGTTAAATGGTTCTGTTAGTGGTGCTTGTGCATTAATTAACTGTGATAGTCGTACAAGTAGTTCTTTTGTAGTTAATTTTGGATTCTATGTTCCGTTTTTTAAATTTTATTGTGCATGTTCTTCGTTCAAATAGTAAACTTTCAATGTTTTAATATTTCCAGTTTCATATACCACAAGAAATACTGTAATTATATTTGGCGATAAGATGTTCAGGATGAAAGATTTCAAATTCGCCATTCAAAATGAATTTTAATTTAATTTTAAAAATAAACTTTTGCTCCTTGTACTAATTGTTAGACAGCTGTCAGATGGATCAAGGCGAATTGCCACCGTGAAGCATACCTACCCAGCAGCATCGAGGGATTTCGAACATGCTTTGACGTGATCAACAAATCACCATGCTGTCGCTATTATTCGCAGACCAACGACCAGTTACCCGTTTTATATGTGGTTGTACCAGAGCACACTAGGGTGAATTCGTTGCTCAAGGGAGTTTGCAGTTATCTTCATCTTTTATGACTTCTTCTTCCCGGTCGCAGAGGCAGACACGTCAGACAGAGCTTCCAGCATTCCTGATCTTGTGACAGAGTCTGAGCCTCGGCAGAAGACAGCTGAAGTCTGGAACAGACTCCTTCCATGTATTTCCACCAGGTGAATTTTGGCCGTCTCCTGGGCCTTCTGCCGACCGGCTGGGCAAAAGAAATTTTTGCTTCGCCTTCCTTTCTGCCGGACCCTGCCGGATGTCAGTACTCTGGACCATGTCGAGACGCGTTAGGCCAGCGACTCGTCACAGAAAGCCCATTTCAGCAGCTTATACCCGGGGTCGAAGATTCTCAGTCATGGTTCATGACTCATGACCGTAGGTAAGCGTGAAGATATAGATCGTCTTCAATGCGCTTAATGAGCTAAGTCTTCGGACTCATATCTGCTTTAGTCTCCGACTGAATGCCACTGGCTGTTCCAATCCATCGGTCGATCTCTTTCTCAAATTTTCCATCACCAGTAAACACGACCCCCGAGTACTTGAACTTTTGAACCTGCTCCATTGCTCTGCCGTTTATCTGAAGAGAGCAACGGCCAGGAGAAGAGTTTGCAGAAAAAATTATGCCATGCATTGGATTTGTATTCGACGACCTGCTTTCCCCAAAACGCCACTTCCCTCTACTGTATCAGATTGCAAGCAGACAGATACTTTAATGTATAGAGTAGATGACTTTAAACTTCTTCACAACGGTCTACTGTTCGAGGACAGTCATTTTTTTATTCACGAATTCCCTTCACGTTCTTTCAGACTGTGGTTGCTAAGTCGATAGAGCGTCATACTGATAACCGATAGGTTGGGAGTTCAAGCTTCGGTCGGAGTCACAGGTTTTCTTCCTTCTTATATTAATAAATGAGTACAGCTCTGTGGGAAGGAAACAGGAGAACCACATGCTACGCTTGCCCTATGGCTGCAGACTCTGCCTTTAAAAATAAAGGGCTTTCATGCCTGATAGCATGCAAATGGACGTCAGCACCGTATCATCAACGCCATGAAAAGAAGGGCGCCAATTGCCCAATCATTAATTGAAGGAAGACTGACATTCCAACATTGACTAGCTTTCTACTTTCCTTAATGGTGCGTCTTTTCGTGCATGGTAAAAGATCTAATTTTACGCCAATATGGCGGTAGTACAGCACTGAAGGAAGTCATTACACCAATCTTTACCTCAGCATTGCACTGCCTGTTTGCTTCTAGTTCTTTTAAGGGTAGGCTCAAATTCATTGTATTGAAACGTCTGGTGTACATATAAACTTGGCGGAGATTTTCTTGTTGATAAGACTGCGTTTCTACTTTTTTGCCATTTGTGATACTCTGCCTTCACTCTCCGATTGGTTGATTTTTAATTTGTTCGTGCAGAGAAAAAATCCTCACTTTACACCGATACTGGGGTAGTTCAAGGCTGATGGAAGTTGTACACCAATTTCTACCGCAACATTGCATTTTTTTGTTGTTTCTAGTCTTTTTAAGAGGAGGACAATTCCATGGCATTAAAACGCCTGTTGTGCATAGAAGATATTCACCGCGTCATTGAGTCGGAACGCGGAAGTTGCAGTTGTGCTGGGGTGAAAGTGAACTTTATGTCGAGCTTTTTGACTTTGTACTATCTTTGACTGCCATTAGAGCACGTGAAAATATGAACAGTATTCGAGAACCTCCAGATTCATATATTTAAATACTTGAAAACTATTAGTCTTCAAAAACTGTTCTTAATCGTTAGTTACGCGTTGGCCTTATTTTCCGTATCGCTGGTGTATTCAATAATCATTGTTATGGTTAGGCGAAATATTTTCCCAAGAATGTTTTAAAGGTATATTTCAAATAAGCGCAGTACATTCGATGCAGTAATCACTGTTCTTGATCAGAATATTAGACGTTCGAATTCGTAAGATTTGATTTGCCAAAGCTGTATTATGCAAATGATTTCTGTCTGCAGTGCAGTCATCTTATTATTCAGCGATAACGAAAAAGGCACATGCAAATCCATCAGGCATATGTCTAGTTTTATCGCCTTATCTTTCACCTTCATTTTCGCAACCCTCCAGTACGTCGGATGTTTGTAGATGCAGCTTGTGTGTAAAGCCGAATTACGCCAGTGGAATCATTACCATTATTTCGTCTTTTATTTCGAAGTATTCTTACAGTTTATTTTATTATGCATATGCTCGTTGTTTTGTTTATTATTGCCTTGTCTGTCTCCACAGTATTCTTCAGTACACTTCCCTATTGTGATTTATCGACATCCAACTGCTCTCCTTCATTACCTTGTCTTAGCGCTGTGGCTAGCGTGAGTTTGACAGAACGTTGCTTCTCTAGCTTTTGTTTATTCTACTCCTACGGCGCTTGCTGACAGCTGCTTTCATAATTACCCTACTGGAATGGACCACAATTTCGTTTATTGCTTCTAGAAACATTTTGAAAACTCTGGCCCCAGAATGAAAATCTTATTACTCCATGTCTTCGAAAGAGTAAAGCAGTATTCATTGTCAAACTTACGTAGAGAAGCACAGTAGAATGGAAATATCTTCATCATTTAGTTAGAGCAAGCTGAATTGAGCAAATGGTTGAATATGACATATGATCCATTCGTTTTTCCCCATTAAATCTGCTCTGCAGTCTTTCGCAAAGG